CACATCTTTTTTTGCTATGAGCTGCCACAAGATCTTGTATATATTTCCCTGTGCTATACAGTGTAATCTTGTTTGTCTATTCTACATATGCCTGTCAGTATCTACAAATTTTGAACTCCCAGTCTATCCCTCCCCCCGGCCCCTTTGGCAACCACAAGTTTGTATTCTATGTCTATGAGTCTGTTTCTGTTTTGTATTTATGCTTTGTTTTTTGTTTTTTGTTTTGTTGTTGTTGTTGTTTTGGTTTTGTTTTTTTTTTTTTAGATTCCACATATGAGTGATCTCATATGGTATTTTTCTTTCTCTTTCTGGCTTACTTCACTTAGAATGACATTCTCCAGGGACATCCATGTTGCTGCAAATGGCATTATGTTGTTGATTTTAATGGCTGAGTAGTATTCCATTGTATAAATTTACCACATCTTCTTTATCCAGTCATCTGTTGATGGACATTTAGGCTGTCTCCATGTCTTGGCTATTGTAAATAGTGCTGATATGAATATTGGGGTGCAGGTGCCATTTTGAAGTAGAGTTCCTTCTGAATATATGCCCAGGAGCGGGATTCCTGGGTCATATGGTAAGTCTATTCCTAGTCTTTTGAGAAATCTCCATATTGTTTTCCACAGTGGCTGCACCAAACTGCATTCCCACCAGCAGTGTAGGAGGGTTTCCCTTTCTCCACAGCCTCTCCAGCATCTGTCATTTGTGGATTTTTGAATGATGGCCATTCTGACTGGTGTGAGGTGATACCTCATTGTAATTTTGATTTGCATTTCTCTGATAATTAGTGATATTGAGCATTTTTTCATGTGCCTATTGATCCTTGGAGAATTGCTTGTTTAGGACTTTTACCCATTTTTGGATGGGGTTGTTTGGTTGTTTCTTATTAAGTCGTATGAGCTGCTTATATATTCTGGAGATCAAGCCTTTGTCGGTTTCATTTGCAAAAATTTTCTCCCATTCCGTAGATTGTTGTTTTGTTTTACTTATGGTTTCCTTTGCTGTGCAGAAGCTTGTAAGTTTAATTAGGTCCCATTTGTTTATTCTTGCTTTTATTTCTATTGCTTGGGTAGACTGCCCTAGGAGAACATTTTTGAGATGTATGTCAGATAATGTTTTGCCTCTATTTTCTTCTAGGAGGTTTATCGTATCTTATTTTATGTTTAAGTCTTTGATCCATTTTGAGTTGATTTTTGTGTATGGTGTAAGGGAGTGTTCTAGCTTCACTGACTTACATGCTGCTATCCAGTTTTCCCAACACCATTTGCTGAAGAGACTGTCTTTATTCCATTGTATATTCTTGCCTCCTTTGTTGAAGATTAGTTGACCAAAAGTTTGTGGGTTCATTTCTGGGCTCTCTATTCTGTTCCATTGGTCCATATGTCTGTTTTTGTACCAATACCATGCTGTTTTGATTACTGTAGCTGTATAGTATTGTCTGAAGTCTGGGAGAGATATTCTTCCAGCCTCTTTCTTTTTCTTCAGTAATATTTTGGCAATTCTAGATCTTTTGTGGTTCCATATAAATTTTATTATGATTTGTTCTAGTTCTGTGAAATATGTCCTGGGGGGACATATTGACAGGGATTGCATTAAATCTGTAGATTGCCTTGGACGGTATGACCATTTTAACAATATTGATTCTTCCAATCCAGGAGCATGGGATATCTTTCCATTTTTTAAATTCTTCTTTAATTTCCTTAATCAGTGTTTTATAGTTTTCTGTGTATAAGTCTTTCACCTTCTTGGTTAGATTTATTCCTAGGTATTTTATTACTTTGGGTGCTATTTTAAAGGGGATTGTTTCTTTACTTTCTTTTTCTGTTGATTCATCATTATTGTAAAGAAATGCAACTGATTTTTGAACGTTAATCTTGTAACCTGCAACCTTGCTGAATTCTTTGATTATTTCTAGTAGTTTTTGTGTGGACCTTTTAGGGTTTTCTATATATAGTATCATGTCATCTGCATATAGTGACACTTTTACCTCTTCTTTTCCAGTTTGGATCCCTTTTATTTCTCTCTCTTGCCTGATTGCTGTGGCTGGGACTTCCAAGACTATGTTGAATAGGAGTGGGCATCCTTGTCTTGTCCCAGATTTTAGTGGGAAGCTTTTGAGTTTTTCACCATTGAGTCCTATGCAGGCTGTAGGTTTCATTTGAATTTTCTATAGGCTTATATATTGTCTTTACAAAAACAAACAAATGGTAAATGTGTTTTTAATTTTATTGAATGCCCTCAGGCAAAAACTCAAACTGCCCAGAAATACATCCCTGTAGAAGAGGTATGACGTTGGAACTAACCACCCCTCCTTGGTCACTGACTTTGTTAGGTGTGCAGTAAAGACAGCTCTCCCAGGCAGATAAAATTAGGCCAGGACCTCTGATTGGGATAGTCCCCGAATTTAGGGAGCCAAGGCTGCACCCATCTGGGAAGGGTTGATGAGAAAAGTGCGAATTGACTTCTAGTTTCATTTGTTGGGTGTTTTTTGCAGGGGAGTGCTTCTAACAAATCCATTCCTTTTGGACATGGTCCTGGGCCCCCTCCCATGGACCTTAGAGCTCAGTCTCCCACACATTGACATGGGGATGCTAACAAGAGGGGTTCCTGTGTGTAAGCCTCGCGTACATTCCTGGAATTTCCCTCCTTATGGAGGTTCAGCCTATCCTGGTGGTGAGGCAGGGAGCTATTTCTTCCTCATATGCATCCAGTCTTTAGGCATAGGAACAGTTTACCCACACTGCCCTTGGCAAGCTGGAGCTGAACGTGTGCCGGTGGAGTGGGCTCTGGCTCCGCTCTTACTGCCCTGGTTTGCTGCAGTCTACAGCAGGCTACTCCTATCTGCCAGTTCAGTTCCTGAAGTTGACGTTGTTCTCTAGCAAGCCAAAGGGCAGAGTGAGACCAGAAAGAGAGGGCTTGAAGGGAGGTGTCCATTGTATCTGCAAGCCTCTGAGGGCTATTCCAGGGCCTGAAAACACATCTGAGGCAGAGCTTTGGCATTTTCAAAGGAGAAGGGAGTCCAGGGGTGGGCAGTGAGCAGCTGTTGAGATCCGTCTGGGGCTTGGCCCAGCTGAGGCTCTGGTGTGTGTGGGCATGGGCTGCTCTCTGCCTTTGCCTTGTTAGACAGACTCCCCAAACCTGAACTGTACTGGCTGAGGTTGTAAAACTGCTTCACTGTCTGAGACTTCATTAAGGCTATAAATCTTCAGGCCCTTAAAAATATTAGGTATGTGATTAATACTACTGTTATTCTTAGAATGTTTATGTGTATTTAAAATCCTTTGGGGGAAGGGGAGTATAGCTCAGTGGTAGAGTGCATGCTTAGCATGCATGAGATCCTAGGTTCAATCCCCAGTACTTCTCTTAAAAAAATAAATTTAAAGAAAAAAAAAACCAACGTAATTACCCATCCCTCAAACAAAACAAACAAAACAAAAACCCATAAAATCCTTTGGAGCCTTTTTGCAATTGGGCCATCATTGATCAGTTATTTGCAGTTGCTTATGAAAGGCCCACCCTGGGCCCAACCCAGAGCTGGATGCTCTGTGGAGCATAAAAGAATCAAGTGAGATGAACTTTGCCTTCGAGGAGTTCTCCCATTGAAAGCAATTAGAGAACAATTTGCTTCCAGACCAGAAGTGTCTTAAGGGGGCTTTTCTTTCTGAGGGTGGTGGTTACTTTCACACAGGTCACCCCTCTGAGATGACTGGGGTTACCTCTGGGGAACATTCTCTGGTATCCAAAATGGATTAAATTGCTGTTTGGGAAGTGGGAGATGGTGCTGTAATTTCATCTTTCATTACTTTGTTTCCCTTTGACACTGCTTTTCTAAGCACCTGTACCCTTTAGGAGAAAGAGTAGCCACCTGCCCACAGGTGCCTATGAATCCCAGTGCCTATCATTCCATGATTATAGCTCCATTCCTCTGAGTCTTAAGGTGTTTGCATTTCCACTTAGAGTCCACTTTTAAAATATTTACAATCCCTGGGAGAGGTCAGTCTCTTAGCAGTTCATCACCAAACAGTAGCTTTAATTACCAGAAA